CAGGGGTTCTAGGTTAACTCCAGGCATTGTCCTTGTTTGGAGTATCAGTCACAGAAAAGACCCCTGTGCCCAGATATTTTGGTTCTGTTGCTCTCTTTATGGAGCTCCTGTCCCCTCCAGGTCTTTCTGTCTCCCCCTTCTTTCATAAGATTCCCTGCACTCTGCCCAAAGTTTGGCTATCAGTCTTAGCATCTGCTTTAATACCCTGCTGGGTATATTCTTTCATAGGTGCTCTGTGGTTGGCTCTTGTCCGGCTGGGTAGATTCTTTCATAGGCCCTCTGTGTTTGGCTCCTGGCCTGTTCTCCGTTTTCTCCCTTTTCCCATGTCTATCCTGTTTGCCTTTCTGAATGAGGGTCCTCCTTCTTGCTTAGCTTTTTTACGTACACAGATTTTAATATGTTTATCCTATATTATATTTCTAATATACAATCAATCTGGTGCTTTCTCGGACAATTAGGAATAGTGCTACCTCAATATCCAGCCACATGCTCCTAGGCAAATATCCAAAATATGCTCAAGTATACAACAAGGACATTTGCTCAACCATGTTCGTAGAAGCTTTATTTGTAATAGCCAAAATCTGGAAACAACCCAGATGTCCCTCAAATGAGGAATGGGTACAAAAATTGTGATACATTTACACAATGGAATACTACTCAGCAAATAAAAACAAGGAAATCATGAAATTTGCAGGCAAATGGTGTGAATTAGAAAAGATCGCCTGGTAGCAAGTGGCTGAGGCCGGTTATTTAGGGCCTTACAAGCCAGTTAATGGATCTTAGTTTTTAGTGCTTATACCAAACTACAGAAAGATTACGAATGGAGCTTGTTCTCAAGTCTGGGTAGGCAAGGCAAGGCCTTTGTCAACCCAAGAATGTAGAAGTATGCATTTGTAATGTTTTAGTCTTTGATCTTTATTGAAAGTGTGAAGGATGAAAGGGAGATGTAAATGGCATAGATAGAAACCTGACAGAGAGAACACTAGAGCCATTTCTTTGTACAAAAGGGAACGGGAAGCCATTCTGATCCAAAGCTAGGACTGTGGCAAAGTAAGGCAAGTTGGTGGAATTCTGAATCCGTCTCACAGAATGGGTTGACTCTTTAGCTGAGTTAAACCCACTTGGAAGCCTGAATGTGTTTTCAAGTAAAGAAGTGGTACAGATGCTTTATAGGTCGTTGGATCTGGAGGTAGGGAAGGGGAGAAACTGGCCCAGTTAGAACTGTCAGGGTGTGGGGGGTATGGAAGTAACCAGATCTTGACTTTGGGCCCTCGCAGTAAGAATAGCTTAGAGGTGAAGGGGAAGAGAAGCGGAATTGTGAGAGTAGCCGATGTGACTTCAAACCTTGGTTCTGTCATGTACTAATTTGTGCCTTAGTTCTTGACCACTACAACAGTGGTGTGTGACTTCTACATCACAAACTGGGAAACCACTGAGTGAGCACATCCAGGACCAAGCTTCTGTAAGTTGTTGCCTGTATTTACTCTACTTATGTGTCCACCTTGTGGATATTCAGTGTAAGCGACACAGTGGTCAGCTGGGATTGGTGGTGCATGCCTGTAATCCCAGCACTAGAGGAAACAGAGGCACATGAGCCTGGTCTACGAAGCGAGTCCAGGATAGCCAAGGCTACACAGAGAAAGCCTGTCTCAAAAAAAACAAAAAAGGGAAGAGAGGCACAGTGGTCAACAGTTTTTGACAAGTGAGGAACTTACAGGGTGTTAACAGAAATTACCTGAAGTCACATCTGTTTTGAGAAAACTGAGATTCAGAGTGGTAGCAGCCCATATCTTAGCTTTTTTGCTGAAAATTTCAGTGACAGAGTAGATAATTGTGAAGAGGTAGGAAGTGGCCCTTTGAGGAGATGACAATTAAGCTGAGACCTAATGTTTGAGAAAGTGCCATGCATTTCATATAGAGCAATTGCAACACCAGGCTTGGAAAGAGAGTTCTAGGTCTGTTGGTGAAAAGGGTGTCAGTCTGCTATAGTGGAGGGAGCTAAGAGGGGTTTATGTTAGGGTCGGGAGTTGGGAACAGAGGAAAACGGGGGAAGTAATTTTAAGCACACCTTGCCATCTAATATAAGGGCTCAGACTTTATTCATAAATGCCATTGGAGAAGTTGCCAGAGAATTTTAAATAGCCGCTGTGACCCAGTGGAAGTTTTTAAAAGGGCATTCTGGTAGCTACTTAGGAGACTTTGTCCACTATCCACAGGAAGGGTACTGGTAGCCCTGCACCAGTGGCCTTGGAGAGCCATGACAGAGATTGTAGAATGGACCAGGGATCTGCAGGTGACCTGGATGGGAGAATTCAAAGATGGTACTTGCTGTTTTTTTGTTGCTGTTGTTTTTTTTTCATACTGACTGTTAAACCCAGGTCTTCAATTGTGCTGGGACTGAGCATCTAAGTTTTAAATTTCAGCCATTGAAGGATAAATAGTATCATTTACCTAGAGTGGGAAAGATTGTTGGAAGCAAAATGTAGAGCTGGTTCAACAATAAGTTTCCTTTGTGCACAGTGTGGTGAGAGGCAAGGACTGAACTACAGCATGCAAACCTGAGTCCTAGCTGTGCTGCTTTCTTGTCAGGAGATACAACACTAGTTCATTTCTCCTTATGTAAAATGGGTGGTATCCTGTTGTAGGATTATTTTTAGATGTAAGTAGAATAGGGCAGGGAGGGGTGAGAGTAGAAGAATGGATGGACATGATTGAGGCCGTAAGTATACCTGTATGAAAACAAGTATGATAGGCCATATAAAAACGCTCAGCACATAACCTGGCAGTAGTGTCAGTCAATGAAAGTCAGCTATGATTGTGATTTTTCAAATTGTCGTGATAAATTTCAAGTGACACTAAGTTTTTGAGGAAATTGAAATTTTAACAGAAATATAGATTCCTTACAGAATAGCCTTCCTGTTCATATTTGCTAGTTACTGAAGAGTGAAGGAAACCATAATGTAAAGAAGACATTATATTCTTTATAATGGTCATTGTGTCAATATCAGTCACTTACTTGCAAGAATCTATACATTTTCTCTCTTCCTATTATTATTATTATTATTATTAATCATCACTGGGTGTTGTTCTTGGAGCATCATGCAGTTTGGGCAGGCACTTAACCACAAGAGTACAGGCTGCCCTGTTTTTTTCTAACTTGCCTTGGGTTCACAGGGGTAGGGAGTTTTAGCCTCCAGAAGTATCTGAATGTATATATAGATGGACTGATTTTGGTTTTTGAGACATCTTGCTATACAGCACTACTATAGTCCAAGCTGGCCTCGAAATCATTCTCCTGCTTCAGCCTCCCAAGTGCTGGAACTCCAGCACTTGCTGCCATGCCTAGCTAAAGCATGCGCATTACCTAACACTGCCAATCATTAAGTACAGTCAGAAATGATGGGCACAGTTCAGCACAGGCTAACAGGAAGTTAGAACCATTTAAAATGTTTTTTAATTTGTTATTAAATAAGGCTAATTGCTTTGTTTTCATGAATGAAAATATTTATTACTTAAAGACATTTTATACTTTTCAACTCTAAAGAGGAAAACAAGTTCAAGCCACTGTTTGCATCAGTATCGAACCCCTGTTGTTGGCGCTAGACAAGTGCTTTGCCACACTGCAACTCATTTTCTTCTTTGGGAGAGTGGTGACATACTGGACTATACGAGAAGCTGCCAGGATAAAGTGAGAAAACAAGACAGAGGAGCTATGCAGTGATGTGCCTGCATCCCTGAATTGCAGTGTCCATAGTACATTTCAGATTTATGGCTATTTATGTGCAATTTAGTATAATAGATACTTTCAAGACAATGCTAGCGATAGCCATTTGTAAATATTAGATTGCCAATTTGATATTTTAGATATCATTTTCTGACATCATCCATGGTATTTTCTTATTTTATAAAACCAGTACTGTTATGTGAGAAAAGTGGAATGAATCTATAGGAAAGAGAGAAGAGGCCAATTAGCCCCCTCCACCCCCCTTACTTTTTACTAATTACTTATTTTGTAGGGGCTAGAGATTGAACCCGGGGCCTTCCTCAAGCTAGGCAAGCATTCTCCCACTGAGCTGCATCTGCAAACTCAGTTCCTTTCTTCCTTCCCTTGGTTTGGTCTGCTAAAATATTTGCCAAGTTAAAAAGTGCTATCTAGCCATTCATTGAAAATACTTTAAATAGTATGTATACTATGAAATACTTGCTTAAATTGATAAATTTGAAATAATTTTAAAAGTTTAGATTCTGGATCCAAACTCTTGAGCTGATTCAAAGATTGTTATTGACAATAATGGTTGGACCATGTATATTTAACCATATTAGAAGAAATGAAATTATTTTGAATATATATATATATATATATATATATATATATATATATATATATATATATATATGTACATAGTTTGGTTTTCATTGTTGTAAATAAAACTTGTCTCCTGAATTGTTCTGAAGATGAAACTGCAATTAATGTGTGAACTTATGTGTTTGTACCCAGGCCTGTTGGCATCAGTGTATAAGAGATTATTGGGCCCTAAGACAAGTGGAAAAGAATTTAACCAATAATTTCACTCTTTGCTGTCTCTGCACCTTTTTTATCTGGTCCATGGTACTTGGGACTAGTGGACTAGAAGAGTATGCATGTTTAAACAAATAAAAACATTAAATGCTGTAGCTTTGTGAATTGCTAAGCATTTTATATTCTTGGAGATTGTTCCTCAATCACGGTAGAATTCACCATTAATCATTTTATTGTTAATGTATTCACTGTTTACATTTTAATAGCTGTATTATAGCTCATAATAACTCGATGAATTGTATTTCATCCTTTTATAGGCTGTAAGCCTGGTTTGCTTTCTCTCGCACCTGTAATATGCTCTTGAGCTATCCATGTGCTCTTCACTATGAAAGGCACTTTCTATGGAGAGGAGTGTACCTCTCCTTCATTGCAGTGCTAACAGAGTGAGTGATGCTGGTTTTTGTTTGTTTTTTTGTTTCAGATATGCCAATATTTGGTCTCTGTCCTGCACATGACGATTTCTACTTAGTGGTGTGTAACGACTGCAACCAAGTTGTCAAACCACAGGCATTTCAGTCTCACTATGGTAAGTGCTGAACCGCGAAGATCGTCAGGAGGGAAAGGGAAAGAAAGCTGTGTTACTGAAGGCCAGCGATGGAGCAGGAAGCTTCTCAGTACCTTCTGCAGGAAGTTAGACATTTGAATTCTTAGAAGGGGCTAAGAACTATCATGGTGGGTGTTTTCTGAATTTTATGTTTCTGGTTTGCATTTTTGGTTTTTCCTGAAACGTAAGAAGAAAGTTATCTCTTGAAATTTTTATGTCAGTATTGTTACAGGTTTTTTTGAGAGAGGGTCTCTCTGTATTCCTCTGGATGTCCTGAAACTTACTCTATAGACCAGGCTGGCCCCAAACTCGCAGTGATATGCTTTTCTCTGCCTCCCAAGTGCTGGGATTAAAGGCATGCGCCACCACGCAGAAGACTGACACTGGAAAAGATAGTCAGTCAGTTGTTCAGTTTTGGACTCAGGCCTTTGAAGCTTGAAGTAGATTTAACCCTGTAAGAACCACAGGTTCTCTTTTCATATTGAGCAAGTGACCTGACCTTAGTTGGCTTTACAGTACAGGGAGCAGTGGCGACCTCAGGGCTCCTACTGCAACTATTGGAATGCATGTGAAGCCACCAGTAGTGCTTAGCACCCCGCAGGTCCTGGGGGTCGCAGGGTAGACAGTTCCACCTCCAGACACCAGAAGGTCTGTGTCTAGAGCTAAAACAGCCTGAGGCATCAAGAATAAGGAGGAATACCGATTGCCCACCAGTGAGTAAATAAGAGCCTTCACACGAGGATTTGAAAAGTGAAATTGTTTCCTCTCTGTTTAGTTTTTTTTTTTTTTTTTTTTCTTCTGTTTTTACGTATAATATAAGCCAGTTTGGAAGGTCTGGAAGGTAGTTTTTAGTGACCTTTAACCCCCTAAAATTGGAAGGGTTTGATGGGTGTACACAGAGCTTCCACAAGCAGCTGTACAGTTTATGTACTGAGCAACCATATTTGGTGGCTCCAGGCTGGTTTCTGAACGACATGCCTGAGCTCAGAGCCAAGAACATCTGGGCTCTCTGGAATGTGCTAGACAGTTCTCATTGGCTGAAGCTGATGGGCCCATTTGTGGATGAACCCCATACAGAAGTAGGCTGGGAGTACTAACACACAGACCTTTGCTGTATGTTAGTAGACACCTGTTGTAGATTCTCAGAACCAGAATATGACTTTGTGATGCTTCCAGAAACTGATAGGTAGACAGGATTAGAAGGAAGCATAGAGAAAGTGTCAATGTGCTGCTTCGCGCAGGACTTCCATAGATCCAAAAGGTGCTCTTGGTCATCTTCTAGAACCGCTTTACCTAGTGACAGCAGCACATTACACAACTGCAGTTTCATTTTCTGTAGTCTAGGGGATGCAAGATCAATGTGGGGAACTGTCACCAGGAGCACCAAGAAAATAGCATATGAGTGTTTCTAAAAGCACAGTTAGTACTAACTTTATACACAGATTTACTTTTAGTCTTCCTATGTCTTCTTTTAGACTGCCAATAGTTAAATGGAAAGTGTCTTCAAATCTAATGTCTGCTTTTCCCTGTGTCCATCCCCCGTGCAGTGACAATAAAGACCCCAAGCACAAGGCTGCGGTCCCTCTAGTGGTAAGGGAAATATTACAGATTAGGTATGAGAGTCCCAGAGGCCTTTCTGAGTCAGTAGCAGAAGAGGGGTGGTAGAATTAAGAAGGAGATTGGAATTGCAGACAGATCAGCATGGGGCATCATGAAATGGAGAGGGTGTCATGCTATTTGCCAGCATGGGAGGCATCACTAGGGCCAGTGAGAACCACTCTTGGTGCTGCCTTGCCATGTTTCTTCTGTGCGCAGGAATTATGAAAGGAAAGCTAATTTTGGAAACCAAACTTCCTTTCTCCCTTCTCCCCTTTCTTTTTGATGAAATTGCAGGAGGAAAATCCTTGCATTCTCCTTCCATAGTTAATAACTATAAAAATGATTTTCAAAATCAGAATCTTGCCAAGTAGCCATTGTCGTTTCTTTATTGCAGTACAGACAGCCCTTAATTTATGGTGGGGTTACATACTGATAAGGCATTGTAAGTTGAAAATATCGGATATTAGAAATGCATTTAAATCCTTCTAATTTAGCAAACCTAGTTTAGCAACACTGTCACCAAGGGCAGCTTTTTTCCCATGAGACTGGCTGGCTGGGAGCTGTGGGTTGCTGCTTTTGCTGTTGCTGCTGCTGTCAGTCAACATCAGGATCTAGCCTGGAAAATGGTCAGAATTCAAAATCCAAACCAGAGCTTCTGCTGAACCTGACCCGTTCTGACATCATTGGTATAGTCAAGAAAGTCAGTGAAATAATCTGATTTGGTCCTGACGTAGGAAAACAGCTTTAGCCCTGAGCACTGCTGTGGTCTTGTAGCTCTTCTCCCTTGCAGTTACGGAATCTTGCACGTAATGCTCGTTGGCTGTGTGGTGGTTTGCATTTCCTGTAGATTTCAGCATTGGGAGTCAGAGCTTGTCTTAGAACAACTCATACTTGCCAATGGAGTGAGTGCATCTTTTGATAATTTTCTGTGACTTCATGTGTTGCTGATACTGACAAACAGGAACAAACAGGCAGTTGCTCCAAAATCCTAGTGGTTCATTTAAAGCTACCAAAGTCAGGACAGGAAAGGACACAACAGTGACTGCTTGTAAATTACTCACCATTGGTGATGCAGATGTTGAGAAAATTGGTAGCAGGGTGCAGTGGCGCACACCTGTAATCCTAGCACTCGGGGAGGCAGAGGCAGTGTGCCTCTGTGAGTTTGAAGCCAGCCTGTTCTAGAGAGCGAGTCCAGGACAGCCAAGGCTACACTAAGAAACCTTGTCTCAAAAAACCAAAGAGAGAGAGAGAATTGGTGAGCAGGGCAGTGTTACCTAGAAAAGTGGCCACCTGAATTTTGCTAGAAAGCTGACTTTGGAGGAAATAGCTGCCTACAAGGATTTCTACCTGGCTAGTGGTAGTAATGGCTGAAGTGTCCCTGTAGTGTCTCAGGCTTCATATTCTGACTGTGCCTATATAATCTTTTGGTTTTTTTTGTTTGTTTGTTTGTTTGTTTTTGAAACTGTATAGAAGGTGTGTTTTGAAGTTGCTATAATGGTTTCAAATACTCCAGCATTCCTCACAAAGATCTTGTTGGTTTCTCAGTGTTTCTAAGCATAGGAGGTTTCTTATGGTTAATACCAGATTTTAAGAACATAATTTGAACCAGTGGACTCAAAAAATCTGTCCTGCATCTGAATTAAGGGAGCTCTCTGATAGACTGCTTCCCAAAATCCATTTCAGCCTTATCACTTCAGAATCTCCCAGCAGAACCCAGGAACTGGCAATGGCAGGCTCCCTTGGCTGGTTGTGACTTGCAAGTTGGCCAACGCTCCATGCCTTCACAGATAACTGCCCACTATGGGGCTCTTACCGAGTCTCACAGGGGCTGAGGCATACCCACTCAGAAGTGTTGGAGACTGTAGCAGTGATGCAGAGAAAAGAGGTCCTGATTTTAAAAATCTATCTTGAAGTCTTTGTCCTGGTAATGTCACATAGATGACTGCTGAAATGACTTGTGAAAGAGGACTAAGGGTAACTTTCTCTAGGGCCAGAAGTGACACTCCTGTGAAGCAGGGATCTTAGTGAGTTGGTGACGGATGTGTTGGCCCAATGCTACCAAATAAAGTGTGTCTTACTATATATCTTGTCTCTGGATCTGCACAGATAGAAATAGACTATGGTTAGGGATGCCTTGTAGTCAGCCTGTGGGATTGTGTACCTTCATTCTAGTGATTGCCACAGAGCCTCTGGATAGGCCCCTCTGCTCTGTGCCCTGCTGGTTACTGTTTTCTTTTAGGAAGATGGATGTAAAACACTACTACCACCTTTCTACACAGACATAGGAGTGATCTTATGTAACAGAAATAGGTGAAGAGATATTCATCCTGAGACAAGTATTTAGTATATAATTAATTGAAACCCTGATCAAATGTCAGTCCTTGAAGCATTTTGCCTTAGATTGGTTAGGCTGATCTGTTCATTAACCTTTTGGGTCAACTTGACTGTCTGAGCTAGGCATGATAGTACTTCTGACTAAGCCATTCATTCCCAATGTTTAATGAGGCTATCTGACTAAATTTGCCTGACCTGCTCACTTAATTTCACATACTACTTTTCTTTAAATCAGTTTTTATTGGTATAAATCATTTACAAAGAAAACTCTAACAGAAACATAGAAATAGGCTAATGTTGTTTGTCATAAAGAAGACAATGTAAGATAAAGAGCATTTAATTCTTTGTTGGTGGTCTTGCCAGTTTTGCATATGAACCTGAGACCTGCCCTTTTTGTTTAAAAGGAGCCTAGGCGGCTAGGAGTAAAATGGTAACAGCAATGGAAGGGAATGGTATGGTGTGGTATGGTATGGTATGGTATGGTATGGTATGGTATGGTATGGTATGGTATGGTATGGTATGGTTTTACCACAGAATTGAAAGAGGTTTGGAAAGGCCATTTGTTTGACTTATGATTTAATGTTCATAATGTTTGGAGTGAAGTATATTCCATGTTTTGGGAAGCACCAGCTATAAACTATTAGATTTCATTTCCTTTGATGATTTAGAAGTCTACTAATTGGAAATAACAGATGTTGGAAGCAGAATTCTATACTCTTCTGTTCTGCAAAAGGATCACATGTCAGTACCTTTGTCTTCTGTCAGTTGTTCATACTAGTCATTGTTAAGTGGCATGTGAGTCCATTGGTCAGGCCTTAGTGTGAAACTCAAGCCTGTATCAGACCTCTGTTCACAAATGACAGTCATAAACTGGCTGTTGGCTATATCAGAGCAATGTTGTTGGTATGAGCATTGCTGGGTTGTTTGTTTTTGTTTTGTTTTGTTTCTTTTTTTGTCTTTAAGACAGGGTTTCTCTGTGTATCCCTGGCTGTCCGAAACATTTTTTCTAGACCAGGCTGGCCTTGAACTCAGAGAGATCTATCAGCCTC